ACGGGTAATTACATGTATGGTATTCAGCTTTGTTCGGGTATTTTCCCACGTCATGCTTTTAAAGTTGTAGCAACGTTTCGGCTGAATCTCATCTGCCATCATCAGGCTTCTGTATTGTGTTTGTCTGTGAGTCAGACTTTCACAGCCGTATATATAAATTGGTGCATGTTAATGCTTTGATTAGGTTATTCAGCTTGACACTACATTTCTGATGAAGAATTATTAGTGAAAAGAATGCCATAGAATCTTATTTTCATCTTTTTGTCCTTAAGGAGAATCAGAAGTTTCAATTCAGCATCACACCAAACAAACTTCCAAATGACTCTTTACCTGTTCTATATTTATATTTCATTATTTAATTATGATCCATCTTTCTACATAAAATTTACCCACCATGCAGACATTTCTGAGACGTCATAATTAAAACTTTTTGTTTCCTGAATTCTCAGCAAAAGGGAGTTTACCAGCTTAATTACTCTATACCCCAATTATCTCTCACAGTAAGCATCAATGCTGCATTTTGATATTTTGTCTTGCTAGTATATTTCTAAGAACATTAACTTTATAAGAACTAGTATACTTTTTCACTTTAGTTTTCTTCTTGCAAATAACTCTGCCAGTAGAGTAAGAGAATCAGTATATGAAAACTGTAATACAATTAAGTTTGATGTACCAATTTTAGAGAAATGGTCAATAAATTGATATTTAAACAAATGGAAACTATTTCTTTCCCTACTCATAACCAGAATGGTAGTGGATATATTATATCGAGGAAAAATGAAGAATTAAAGAGGAAGTAAAGTACAAGCTTTATGGACTGATTCTAATCTTGTTATGAGTAGTATAGAAGAAATGTAGGATAAAAATTGAGTCAACAAGATGATTTCTGCAAGAAATAATCCATCTCCACCCTGCTTCAGATAACTGACATTTTCAATTTGCTCCTACTTTTCCTAATAATAAATATTTGAACAACTGTTGACAACAATGTTGCTGAATTTCAATACTTGATATATCTGATTTAATTCACTGAAAAAGTTTTGCATCTTTTAGTGTAAATTCTAAATTTTTGGATTATTCTACTTATGGATGCATTTTAACTTCAGCGAGATTTTCTATAGTCTTTGCTAAAAATATAAGCCTTAGATGTATACCTTTGATTTGTTTGCAGCAATCATTCTTTGGCTGTGTTTGAGGATGTTTATTGACTTAATTGTCTAATGGCACTTTGTTTTAGGAGCCCATAGTGTTCAGTAAAATATTTAAGCTTCCACAGATAAGTAACTAAAATTCGGTTACTTGAAGCACTATGTCTGATTGTTCAATCCTGCAAAAACTGCAAAAAAGGTGTTTTCTGCCATAGTAGAAAATAATAGACTTCAGTTCCATTGCATTTGTATCTATAGCAGGGCTGTCAAACTCGCAGCCTGCAGGCCGTGCGCTGGCCACACCCACTCCTGGTTTAGTAAAGGGGGGGAATTCTGATACGTCTCGTGATGTCGCCATGATGATGCAAGTTTGACACCCCTGATCTAGTATGACCCAAAATATGCACATCTACTTAAGATGTTATAATTTTAATAGATATGTATAGATTACTGTTCTTTAACTAAAGCTTGAGGGTTGAATTGATGCACAGCCATGTTTTAAAATTGCTCATAAAAAACTACTTTTCTTCCAATGATTTGATCTTGAAAGAGAAAATAGAGGAAGAAGACCGAAGATAGATTGATATATGCTACTTAGGAATTTGATTCCAAAGATATTAATATTTTAAAACATATGCATCATAATTTTCTCATGCAGGAACTATGCAGATGGCAACTAATTTGTGTGTTTTATCTCCCCCTTCCCCCCCCCCTTTTTTTTTTCTTTTTGCATGCTGTCCCCTGTGTTGGAACTCTCTATAGAGAGTAAGTTGGTTCAATATTTGTTGGAACCCTGACTGTGTTGCATGACGAATACTAATCTTTCTCCCCTCTATTTTATACCTATAAAAATGTTTGTAGAATGTAGCTTTTGCACTTTATAAATTCCTGCAGCTATAGAAATTATCCTGAAATGCTTTTGTATACAAATGAACTTTCCTTTTGTTTCTCTACTGCTATTGTGTATTGTGGTGACTGGCGCATCTTAATTTCATATCTAAGGATATATTCATATTAAAAAGATCTAAAACATTTTCTCCACAGTCCTGTTGCTGATTTATATCCAGATTTGTTTATAGGAATACATATATACAGTGGTCACGAATGCTCCTGTTCACAACCAAATCTGGTGGGGAACAAAAAAATCCACCTCAGGACACGATTCAAAAATTGGGTGACGAACAAAATTAGCATGGAAAGGGAATCTTTCTGCGCTGATTTCCCCTTCGATGCCATTTTTTTTACTGCACGCATGTGCAGTCGGTGGTGCTTTCGGACGCGACCAAATTGGGTTGCGACCAGAGTCCAGGAACAGATTACAGTCACAACCTGAGGCTCCACTGTACATGCATCAATACATACATACATATATGTGTGTGTGTGTATGTGTTTTCTTAAGTTTTCGCGAGTACTTACATATATGGTATTCAGCTTTGTTCGGATATTTTCACACGTCATTATAGTTGTGCTTTTAAAGTTGTAGCAATGTTTCGGCAGAGTCTGATGATGGCAGATGAGATTCTGCCGAAACGTTGCTACAACTTTAAAAGCACAACTATAATGACGTGGGAAAATACCCGAACAAAGCTGAATACCACACACACACACACACACACACACACACACACACATTCTCTGTCCACTGTGAATGTGAATTTTTACACAGACAAACACATACTTTTTGGCTATCCCATATCGTGAATGTCTTTTTTTTTTTTTTTGCAAAATGCCCATGAAAATATGCAAAACTGAGCAGTGTTTAAATTATGTTTATATTTAACTGATCTACAGTCTGAATATTATGGAGGAGGAAAAGCATTGTTAAGGTATTGCAATTTTGAACATGAAAGGTGAGTTGGCTTGTTAACTATCAAGACTTTATTGCTAAGAGCAAGTTTTCAGTATTTTTCAGTTTAAAAATAAGATAACATGCAGTAGTGTCTGTTAATTTTTATACGTTTATATGAAATGATGCCTATCAATGCGGTTAAATGAATCACATGAACAATAAATTGGAGATAAATTGACTTAGTTGAACTTAAATCCCATTGAAATCAGCAAGAATTATGATAATAATTCAATTGAATTACACTGATATTGAGAGTTAACTTGGTCTGAATCCAATTTTGTTGCATCATTCTTTTTTCTCAATATTGCTATTATTTTTGAGTATAGAGATGGATTCAAAACCCTTACTGTAACCCATGGAAACCTTTTTGATCATGATTTTAGAAAACTATTCCTTAGTTTTCTAAAATCTTAACATTTTGAGGTGAGAAACAAGAAAAAAGAATTATAAAACTTACATTTGCATAACTTAGATATATCCAAAGGGCACCCCCCCCACCTCAGTGTCCCTAGAGCAAGGCTTTTGCTTACATGTAAGATTAGATCATGCCCACTTTGCTATTCCAACTATAGAAACTACATATGTTGTGTCCCTTGGTCCCCCTTAGGTTGCCAATTCATGTGTTAATGGAAGGTTTTTCTAAAAAATTATGCTTTCCAATTCTCTTCTACAGTAAGCCTTGGTTGAATAAACATTCATTTCACAGTTCAAATTTACACAATCTGCAATAAAAAAAAGTTGAATCAGTAAACCAGGTAACCAAATAGTACATGTAATCAGAGTTCTGCTCTGCTTCCACAGTCCTGCATTCATTTTGGTTTGCAATGCCTAGAATGTGTTTTTCACTATTGCATGTCTTCTGTTTACTTTCAGTAAAAAGATGGGTACAAAACCTTATTCTAAGAGACCTTCAGCCTAGTGATTACATTGGAATTATGCTAAACCAATGTTCATTAAATTGAGTTTTACTGTGGTAGAAAATTGGAAACCCTAGCCTTTTTGTTATACCCTCCTCCATAGTCCATTAAATTACAGTTTTCTGTATACTTTATCTGATTATATTTAACTAGAGCTTAAAGTTAACCCTACAGTAAAGCTTGGAATGAGTTATAACAGAGCTCCAACCCTAGATGGACAACTTACCCAAAGCTGGTGTCCTAACAAAATTGTGCATGCACTACCCCCATTTTTCCTGCACTACATAACAGTAGAGTCTGTAGTTTGCTGCTGTAAAGAGCAAATAAAGACCAAAGATAAATGTGGAATCACTGTCTTATTATGAAACCCACATTTTAGGAATTGGGCAAAAGAACACCTCTTGTTGGTGGTTAGTTTCAACAATAAAGTATAATATACTCACTATGTGTTCTCATTAAATATTCTGCAAGTTTAGGACTATTTTAAACATTTGTTTTTTCTTTATTCAATAGATAAAGGGCCAGATAGTAGCAAATGAACAAGCATAGAAAAGTGTAGAAAGCTCTAGTGGTAAATTTGTATAGTTTGAGCATAGACTGAAAATTTTCAGATTCTTTTTCTTCTACCTTATAAGGGCTTTGTTTGTTTGTTTGCAGTAGGAATCAAAGTATTATTTGTATGCCTTGTAGAAGACTTATTTGAAAGTTTGATTACTAATTTCAATACAAAGTGTAGCTAAGTATCTTTATAGAAAAAGATAAAATTTCCCTATTGCAACTATACATTATTTAATCAGCTTGCTTTCTGATTCAAGTACACCATTTTGGATCACCTTAATGATTTTACAGAACTATATTGTTTTGATACAAATACTTCCTAAAACTATGAAGATCAAGTTTCCAATTTTAAATTTCTTTACACTCCCAATTCTGTTCAGTTACAGATTGTTCTGTTTCCATAATTATTGACACTTTTATAAACAATGCTGAAGTTAATTTGTTAGATGTATAGAGATCATTTGTAACATTAATTTCATTCTTCCCTGTTTCAAATCTTACAGTGTACTATACTGAAGAAAGTCATAAATGTGTTATATTAAAGATTTGTTGTGGCATCTTAGCTTTTTTTATTTGTATCCAGCATGTTTTCTATGCATGCAAGACTTAGCAGTGTAAAACTATTTTTCAAATGGAAAACAAGATTTTTTATGGTTGTTCAGACTTTATTAAATATAAAGTGATGAATAGCAGAAAAAATAGTATGTATGAAAAAGAGATGAATATTGTGACTGCACTATATGAGAGAATATATCTATGAAAGTAGATAATATATCATTAAAGCTGGGAAGTTTGAGAGTTTTTCAGATCAGTTGTAATAAAAAGATCTAGTATGCTAAAATGAAGCATAGATCAAGTTCCAAAATTCAATGAAATAGACAACACCAAAATAGTGAAAAGGGAAGAAGAGAATTGCGCCAGTCATCACAGCATTTCTTTGCTCAGTGATATTGCATGAAGTACTAATTTCCAGAAATACAAATATATTTCTGAATCACAGATTCTTACAAGAAACGGGAGAGAATGTTTTCCTGCTTGGCTGTATATCATTGCCTCTTTCTGCTTCTATGTGGTACTACATTATTTTGTGAGTTCAACACAGGCAAGCATCAACTCCTTTTCTTCCCTACTTTTTTTTCCTTTTGTCCTCCCTTTTTCCCCCTAATGCAGGTGTTCAGCATGTTTTTGGAAACATTAGTAGATTTTATCCAAGTTCATAAAGAAGATCTACAGGATTGGCTATTTGTGCTGCTGACCCAGCTTCTGAAAAAAATGGGTGCTGACTTGTTGGGATCTGTACAAGCAAAAGTTCAGAAGGCTTTAGATGTGACAAGGTAATAGATTAATGTCAGAATAAAAGTACACCTGTTGTAAACTTTCTACATTTGTATTTCAGTTTTGCATCCTTTAGAATACAATAAAATATAGCTATTAGAGTCAGCATATTAGAATGTAGAAAAAATGTGTCTGTTTTCACTATATTGTCTATTTTTTAATAATGTTTATATACAATATACCTTTAAAATGAATGAACCCAAATGCTGTGTTTAGTTTTAACGTTTTCAGTCTTTACAAACCCATAATTTTTATATTATCTCTCACTGCTTATATGGGCAAAGTACATGTATTTCCCATTTTATGTCTAGTTTCTGAACATACTGTAAGTTTGATGATGTGAAATTTAATTGTATTATTTCATAGGGAATCATTTCCAAATGATCTTCAATTCAGTATTTTAATGCGGTTTACTGTTGATCAGACCCAAACACCAAGTCTGAAGGTAAAAACTTATAAAGCTTTACATTCCATTCAATAATACTTTTGTCTTGTGTTATACATTCTATGTTGTTGGTTTTCAATTAGTGGGTTTTTTTTATTATAAAATTTCAGACAGTCAAGCCAGCACTGCAGGACCAGCTTCGTTCTTTTTGGAGCTCCAAGGTTTTTTTTTCTGAATTATTGCTTTTTTTAACCTATTGTGTGTAAAATTTACATTAAAATATTTCTATGCATCAATATAGTGCTACTAACCTTTGCAAGGAATTTTGAGCATGCTCTTGTAAACTTGATCACAGCGTTATGTGATTGTCTTGAAACATTCTATGAAAATCCTATGAAAATTCCACAAAGTCCAACACAGTTTTAAAAAATTGTATGGCTGTCTAACATCAAGCTGGCTATGCAAGCTCCCTCTATCAAGTCTTTTCTAATTTTATGTTTGTAATTTCCCAATCTCCATTTAAAAGACTGAATAGTATCCCAGCAAAATTTCTTGCTGAGTTTTCTACAGTTGCAAAATATTTTTGCATCTTCAAAATTGGAGTCATTTGCTTTTAAGCTTTTATTATGAATATTCTATGATATTAATGATACATATTCAGACACTGAGCTGTTGCTGAAAATATGTAAAAGTTGAAATATATAAACAAAAACTACTCTCCTGAAGATGACCAGTTGGAGAAATTTCAGACTTGGGTATATACAGTATACTGTGTATGTACAGCAACTGAGACATTTTGGGAAAATAACAAGCATATATGTAACCACCATTTTTCTCTGTCTGGCACAGAAGTATTTAGTCTGTTAATTGCTTTCACAATATGGCACTTCTTTACTCCTTGATGCAGTGGTATCGAAATTACAGACAAAATATCATATTTCTTAAAATGCAATGTTTATTATAAGTGCTATAGAGAAATTTATATTAACTATTTTGTTACAGTGAATCTTTAGATTTTTCTGTAGATTTAAATATAAAGGAATAAAGATTTTAAAACTGGTAGGAGCTACATTGGGAGATCGATGTGGATTGGTGGTTTTCCCCTGATTAAAAAAATCCCTTTAAACTTTAAGTTATATCTATGTGAATCATTGAAAGGTTATGTTGCTAATTGTAGATATGAAGATCTTTTAAAAACATCTTTATTTTACTATATAAAGAAAGAGCAACAATTTCAATGTCTATATAAACAGTGTGTTGTCTGGTTACAGTTAGTTTGAGCAATAGTCATCATCATAATGCTCATTAGTAGTGATCATATAATAACAGCATTTTCTCAACATAATATTAATACTTAATTGTTAATACTAAATCATATGGATAATAAACATATCATAATATGTTTATGGTAAAATTAATCCTTCATGGTTAAATTAATCCTTCACTTATAATTTTAAATATTCTAACTTCTGTTTCTTTTATTTAACCATAGATAAAATGAATCCCATGTTTCAAAATATTCCATATCTTCCTTCTCTTTAATTTCAAGTCTATCAATCTATCTATTTAATTTCAAGTCTATCAATCAATCTATTCAATCTATCCATTTCTGCACATTCTAGGTTTGTTTTTTTTTGCTATATTCTCAAAGATGTGAAGATACTATGTGTTTGCATTGCACAAAACTTCCAAATATATGAAAGTGCCCCATTTTTGCTAGCAGAGGCACCACAGGGTAGTCTTTTGCTATTTCCAGGCCGGGCCCACGGACCGGATCTAAGCAAGCAGTGGGCCAGATTAACCCCTCGGGCCTTGAATTTGAAACCCCTGACATAGGATATGGTGATTGCTTAACTGAAGAATCTATATTCATATAGTCCTTGGCTACAACAGCAATGAAGTCTGCTCATTGAGGTTGCATATGTGATACTTAAATGAAATTGCCTTGGGGTGGTCCAGAAGGCCTAGCACACACTAAAACCTTCCTGCCTCCCAATACCTCCTCCCCGCCCAATACTCCTATGCTCCACCTCCTGTCCCTCAAGGTCCCCACAGCTCTGTTTTCCCCTCATAAGGTCTGCATAGGCATCCCCCCATACACAACTTTCTGCAGGTCTTAGGCCTGCTTCCCACCCCACTGGACCCATTTCCTCCCTGCCTCTCATTACCCGTCGTAGACCTTTTGAAGATCTTCAGAGCTCCAGACATGTAAAATTGTGGTTACTCCAAAATGACAGCTGCTTTATGCATGAAGCCACATGGTCCACGGATAAAGTAGTCTTAACAAGATCTGTGCAGTTTTGCGCAAAACTTCAGAGCTTGCACTGCTATGCAGACTGCATTAGGGAAACAGAGCAGATTGCAGGTGCATCCCAGAAGCACCTGCCATTCTTTGCAGCTGCTTCTAAGCCACACAACTAAGGGACACAGAGGGATGGAGTGGCTTGCAAAGGATGAGCTTCAGAGAGCTTCAAAATATAAAGTGCATGATGAAGATATGGAGGAGGCCTAAGGCCTGCAGTGACCCAGTAGAACAGAATGAGGGAGATAGGTTGTGGGGGGATGCTGCAGGTTCCTGTTGTGAATCCTAAGTGCGAATGACAGTGTGGGTGCTGCAGCAGCAATAACTTCAAAACGGGGTTTTAAGTGGCTTTTAGGACATCTATTGTATATAAGGACTACTACATTGTTTTTTGAAATGATATTATTTGTGCCAAAATGGCATATTTTTGAAAATAAACTTTGTATTCTATGTTCATTATTACATTTAGCAATATTATTGTTCACACACACACACACTTATTATAGAATATCTATTCTTTAAAAAGTAGCATGTTGAATTGAATTGATGATCTAGTTCACTATTCTGTTTCTTACCACAACCAATTAGAAGCCTTTAAATGACTTGTATACAAGGCCTAAAGGCAACAGTCTTCTCAGATTGTTTTACTCACTAAACCGAGTTCAGATATATTTAGTGCACCCCGAAATACTTTTTATATTTTGTTGTGTTTTACTGATCTAGGTGAAATGTTAATATATATTGCTAGTGTATGATATGCCATACATTATCATACATTACATACATCATGTATGATATGCCGTACATTAAATAAATAACATCTTTATAAACATAATAAGTAGATTTTACAAACCAGTTGTAGATTTCTCCAACATGGAGCAAATTCAGACAGAAACATGTTGCAAGTAACTTCAGCAGACATGTTACAAGTGCAGAACAGAACAGTAACTCAGTTTCTCTTTTACTTTAGTTCAGCAGGCAAGCAAGAGAAGAGAAGCAGTTTCATTTCAATAGACAGACTCAGAACTCAACATAGCTTCAGAGCTGCAGAGCTTAGTTGCTACACCTAAGCTACCTCTAGTTTCAGTTTCCAAGCAGTTCTCATTGGCTGACTTAGTTGATATGCCTATTCATTGGTTGACCTTGTTACCAAGCTCTATTCCAGTTCATGAATATACTCTGACATACTTGATATGGAATAAATTCTATGACTGGTTGAAGACAAAGGATAGAAGTTAGAGAAAGAAAACAATGAATGTTTTTTGTTAAAAACAGATGGTTTGTAACCACAATATTATATGGTATAAGTATTCTTATTAGAAATTGGCACTATTTTTGTAGTACTAGCTATGGTTCTTATTCTTTGTAAATAACAGACTCCGACAAAAATTATTCAAAATGTCTTATCTATAAAAATTAAAAAAGAAAGAACGAGAAAGAATGAAAGAAAGAAAGAGAAAGAAGG